ATCTCTCCCTTTCACAGAGCACCAGTTTGACAACAGCTAGGAAAACTACACAAGCTTTTAAATATTCACAGATGTCAGTCTCACCTAGAAATCAGCATCTAAAAACCATGAAGTCGTGTCTGCTTCATTTTTATGAATTGAAGGTCTGTGACACTCAAATTCAAGTTCCATCTGTAAGTTTTCCAGATATTAACTTAATAGGCATCAGAGCAGTATGACATAATATTTTCTTCAGTTTGCCTTTCATAAACACCTCTAGAAGCCTTTAAAACAAACAAAAAAGGAAATAAATACACAAACACTAACAGTATCTTTTTTGTTTAGCAAAGCAAGACAAAGAGGTAAAATTAGCTTGTAATCAGAAAAGATAGAAAAGCTTAAGGATGTGTTACCATCCCTTAATTAGCTTTCATGGTTGGCCAGTAAATACAGTCTTAATACCGCACTCTGGGGGGAGCAGGCAGTGGTGTAGCAACTTTAGTCTCCGCATGTGACAATGGCATTTCATATGGGCACTGCTCCACTTGCAATCCACTCCCTGACAATGCACCCGAGAAGCCAGCAGATGCACTGCGTCCCTGAGCCCTGGCATAGAAATGGGAGACCAGAAAAAAGCTCTTTGCTAGGTCCGGCCCAGCCCTTTCCAAGCCCTTTCTGTTGCGGCTATTCGGGGAGCAAACCACCACTCTCTCCCCTCTTCTCTCTGCAACGCTGCCTTCCAAACATTAAATAAAATCTTGAAAAAAAAGTTCGTTATGGATAAAGATCCTGATCTGTGGATTCCGTGATTTGCTGTAATACAGACCAATACCTGAAGCCAATGACTTATTTTCCCCCTCCTATTCTCCATTTCAAATCAGTAAAGCTTGTAATAACATGTATTATTAAAAAAAAAACTATAAACACAAGATATGAAAAAGCCAGTAATTTCTTAAATAGCAGGGCTTTTTTCTAACAGCAGCTAAACATTAATTATGCTTTTAAAAATAATTTCAATGACACAATGGTCAAAATATCAAATAAGTACACACTGTGTATTTCAGAAAAACCATCTGAAGAGCACGTCCTCTTCCCTCTTTTTCCTTCCTTTCTCACTACCCAACATCCTGAGCACCGCAGAAAAGAACTGCATTGAGTGCAACACAAACAATTTTTTCTAAGAAACCAAGCTGCCAGCTTAGGAGTCACATTTCAACTTGATGTGATTTGAAACAGCTCAGGTAATGAATCCTTAAATGCAGGGCACGTGACGGTAGGCCTGCACACAGGTCCTTGGTTCTGCTGGAAGATGTCACTCTTTAGATAAAGCCAACAGAGGCGGGCACTGCCTTCAGTCCTAACCCTAGTCCCCCTCCCACCTTTACATGGCATATTTCCAGTAAAATGCTCTAACCCGGAGCAAGAGCCACCAAATGTTGTTTAGTCAACGGAGGGTTAAAAATATAAAGTGTCCCAAGTCTCTGGGAAACACTCAATGCGTGACTGGTGAGCCCCTCTCCATCCTAGGCTTCAATCCTGACATCTAACAGTCAGAGACCTCCTCTCTCCAAGAGAGGAATTCCCAGGAGGAGCGAGGCTCCGCTCCAGTCTGAGAGCACACAATGGAATCACAGCTGACGAGGCACATCTTTTTCTAGATGTCTCCATATGCTTGAGAGGTTTCCTCCCCCTAGCCAGACATCAGGGGACCTGCTACCCTCAGCCACCAAGGGCTGCTGTAGAGAACAAAGTAAAATGATGTGTTGCTCTCAAGCGCAGACCACAGAGAAGCCTAGGCTTCCAGTAGTCAGCAGTAACTACGTGAATGGTGGGGTGGGAGGAGGGTTTGAATATTGCCAAATTCTGAATTTTGCTTAATTTATAGTCCTTCCTATTTCTGTCTTTCTAAATAAACGCTCGCTCTATTCTCTGCTTTTACTATTTCATCACTAAAGTAACTCTCCAAGGGGCTACACTGAAATGCAATTCATTGATAGCTACATGAACATCCAAAATTTGTAAACTTGAAAATGGAGTAACAACACATTCCTAACGTTTGACAGGTCCTGCTGCCCTTTACAGGACAGTCCTCCTTAAGTATTAGTGACCCTAATAGTAACAATGGCTTGAGACAGGTACAAATAAAATAAACATCAGAGACTCAAAATACCCCAAACTGAAATTCACAGAACACTCACCACAAAAATGAATGCACTCATTCTTAATGTAATACTATTCACTTTTTGATCTCCACAAGATCCTACAAATCCCAGCGGGGTCTGTTGGCTGCTGTCAACATGTACTAACCCCCCCCCCACACACACACACACACACAGGGGACAGCAGCCCCTATGTTTCTCAAGAACCAAAGATCCACCCTGTGCTTTCCCAAGTCGGGAATCTGTCAGTCACTTCCCTGAGGGAAAGGCGGTTCCAACAACCAAGACACCTCCTAAGCTTGTATACCTCCAGAGAAGTACCCACACACTGCACAGTTTAGCACCGTGGCAGGGAACCCACAGTGTTTGTAAGAGTCTCTTTGTGTGGGAGTCACCTGGCAAACTGCATTTTACTCCGACTGTTTTTCTGCAGATACTCTTCAACTAGCTTCGTTCCTCAAGTACCCACGATTCATTTTTCTATGATACTCGGCTACCCAATTTCATTTTATTTACCCGAGAGAGGGAAAAAAAATGCATACCATAAACTACAACTTTTTAAAAAAAGGATCAACCCCCCCCCCAACGCCGAACTTTCCAACGCGCTCTGGGAACTGGCTGACTATTCCAACAAGGAACCAGTGAAGCCATTACAAACAATGATGCCAGACACTCCCAATCACGCGTGGGGTTCGGAACACCCCCTGCCTTCAGGGGCACCCAGCACATCGCGCTGGTGTGGTGACGAGAACCCGAGGCAGGTACACCGGTAACTTGCAGGCTCCCTCGCATGTCAGCCAGGATTGGCGTTCTAGAACCAGATCACCACAACATATGCCATCTTAGAAACGGGCCTCAGGAGTTTTACTGTCACATCCCAAAGTGCCCGCACACTTCCGAGCCTAACAACGTGTCTCGAGGGGTCCAGAGAACCACAGAATCTCGTGTACCTCTGCACGTCTCCCCAGGGCCAGAGCCCCCGCGAGTGACACTACCCCACAGCTCCTGCGGCGGGTGACCAGGGAATGGACGGGAGTGGATAGCTCTTGGCGTCTCCATGACTCCCCCGCCCCGCGTGCAACTCTGTTCTAACTGGTGCGGGGAAAACCCCGCCCCCTGCCTTCGGTTCCCCGCGATTGGCTTACCCGCCCCCGGCAGGTCAGCTCCCGGCCAGCGATTGGCTCGCTCCACCCATCAGTCAGCCGCAGCGAGATTCGGGTCGGTGGGAGGGGAAGGTGTCGGAGGAGGTGGAGTGGGAGTGGAATTAGAGGACGAGGTGGCGGAGGAGGGTGCTCGGGCTCCCTCTCCGCTCGGGCAAAGTTTCCTTACCGGGGACCGACCCAGAAGGCGTCAGGCCTCCGGTCCGGCTGAGGGTCGTGGAGGGAAAAGGGGGCTCCGGTCCCCGATTCCCGCCCCTCGCTCCCGCAGGCCCCGGAAACCACTAGGGGGAGGGAGAAGAGGGAGGGACCAGCTAAGCAGGGACCGACCCGCCCCCGATCTCGGAAGAGGCGCCTCCGGGACTCCCCCGAGGGGCGGGGGGCGGGGAGCCGCAGCCCGCAAGCCCCGACCCCGGCCGCCTCCCCGCCCGGCCCGCGCAGCACCCCGCCACGCCGGAGGAGGGCTGGTCCAGCGCCGAGGCTTCCCCCCCGGGGTGGGGGGCGTCTCGCTCGCGGGGCGGCCGGGAGGGCCCCTCCCTGTTTCCCGCCTGGGCACCCCCCCGCACACACACATACACACACACCCCGGAGGGCCTGTCCCTTGAGGGGGGTGGGAGAGAAAAGGGATGGGGGGGCGCTGGCGAGTCAAGCCGGAACCTCCCGCCCCCGGCCCCAGTGCGCCTCCAGCACGCCTGCCCTAACCCAGAAAGTTAAGTCCGGGGCGAGCCCAGCCCGGCGCCGCCGCGGCCCGGCCCCCGGCTCCCCGCCCCCACCGCCGCCCGGCCTGCTCGGCCCGAGCGCGCCGCCCGCCCGGCCGCCGCCGCCGCTCCTTCCCGTCCGCCCGCCCGCCCGCCGGGCCCCGCGCCCCCCGCCCCGGCGCTGACACGGGCCCTCCCGGCGGCCCGCCGCTCCCCTGCCTGCCCTCCTCCTGCCCGCGCCGCAGCCGGCCGGCCGCCCCTGACACCCCGCTTCACCTTCACAAACACACCCAGCACTTGACGAGTCCTGCCTGCTCCCTCTCGGCCCGCTCCCACCCTCCGCTGCACGGCGCTCCGCGTTGGCCGTGAAAGAAGGCACCTTTCGGGGGGCTGAGGGGGGGGATTCACCTTCCCGGCTCAGCCGCGCACCTCCCGAGGTGGCCGGGGGTGGGGGGGTGCTGGTGGCCGGAGCCTCGATCCCCGCCGATCCTCCTCCTCCCCCGGCGCCCGGCTGGGGCGGCCAGGCAGGCAGCCGTTCCTCGGGGCCGGGGGCCGCGCCCGCACCCCCCGGCCTCCCTGCCGCGCCTCGGTGCTCACCTCTCGCCCGCGCCGCGGGGCTGCAGTCTCCGCCCGCCTCGCGCTCCGGGACTCGGCTCTCCCGAGCTCTCTCGCAAGGCGCTGGAGCGCCTCCTTTCTCTCCCGGGGACTTCGCGTCTTCCCCGCCGCTTCCCGCCCTCCCCACCGCCTCCCCCTCCGCAAGCCCCAACTCCCCAGCTCGGCGGCGCCTCGGGGGATGCAACTCCCGTTCTCCGCGCACTCGGGCGGCGGTGCCCGCACACGCACACGCGCACATACACACACAAAAACCAGCCCTCTCTCGGAGGCGCACGGCTCTGCCCGGCTCGGCGCAGGAAGGGCAGTCGCGGCCGGGGGTGGGGACGCGGCGCCCCCCGCCCGCCGCCCGCCCCTCGCCCGCCCTCGCGGGGCCCCGGAGAAGGCGCGGTTACCGGCTCGGGTCGGTCACGCCGTCAGGTGCCTGCTGCCGTCGGCGCTGACCTTCGCCGCCGAAGCCGTAGCGGAGGCTGCGGCCGCCATGTTCCCGTGTTAATAACTGCTGCCTGGTTGTTTATTTCAATGGAGATCCTCCCCCAGCTCCCTCCTCCTACTCCTCCTCCTCCTCCTCCTCGTCGGCGTCTCCTCACTTGCGGAGAGGGACTCAGACCGCGCGAGCTCGCGAGCCGGGGAGGGGGCTCGGGAGGCAGGCCGGCCCTCCCTCCGCCAGCCCGGCTGTGGCCACCGCCAACTCCTGTCACTGGGGAAAGCACGGGGCGGAAACTTGCCTCCCGCGGCCCAGGGTAGCAGGGAGAGGTGATTCGAGGGCTCTCCGGAGAGCAGACCCTGGCCGCAGAGTCTGCAGCATCTCCGTCGGCAGAGTCCCCCGAGAAGGCAGCCCCGGGGAGAGGTGATGATGAGTGAGGGGGACAGGGACAAAATGGGTGGAGGGAGGGTGACCTACGCGTGAGTAGAAGTGAAGAGAGAGTAAACAGAGGACTCCATGGGAGGGCAAAGGGCAGTGCCAAAAAAGAAAGCGAGCGAGTGGGACCGGCCGGGGCCGCAGGCTGGAGTGGCACCTTGGGGATGCAGACGGCGGCAGGGATGATGCCCCGAGATTGAAGATCGGAGGCTGCCGAGTGCCGGCTTCGCGCAGAGACGAGCCCCGTGCGTCCCCGCGCTCCGGCCCGGCCCCTCTGCCGGCTGCCTGCACCCCTGGGGCGCGCCCCGTGCCCCAGCCCCGGGGGCCTGCCGCGGCTGCCAGAGGCGCCCCAGGTCTGCGCAGTCCCCTGGATGGCAACGCGGAGACGCTGCAGGCGCGACGAGGGGAGGCGAGCTTAAAGGGGTGCGACCCCGCGAGTGCACTTGCGTGGGAGCTGCACGCTGAGTGTTGAGACCCAAGTTGGCTGAGGCTTCTCTACACGCCATGAAATGACAAAAGTTGGCGAAAAGACTTAAGTCATCGCTGAAGTACTGGGAGAAGAACACACATCAGAAATCGACCCCCCCAAAGATGCGAAAATTCTCATTTAAGTGCTGATAGGCAGGACAATTTTACGTTTCGCAAAAGCAAGCTTTGTTGCTCTTTTTCTTCCAGTTGGGAAAAAATGAACAGTTTGTTTTACAGAGCTACCAAAATATCAGAGCACATTTTCTTATTTTTTCACTCCTATAAGGAGGGAGGTCATTTGCCACGAGACATTAATATTTATTGAACACTTTGTGTGTGGCACTGTGCTAATGATTTATATACGCTGAATGTTTTAGTCCTCAACTTTAGAAAGTGAACTCTTTTGTAACTCTCACACACACACGAAATTTCAAACTTTTACCGAGAGTCACGCCACCAGGATGTTGGAGAGAATTTGAACCCAGTTCTGGGGAGCTTCAAATCCCATGCTTTTTATGACATGGTCAACTGGAATTTACGAGACCACCAATTTTAACTGAAGGGGGATTGGGGTGCGTGTGTGTCGCTATGGATTTAAAAAGGAATATTTTAATAAATGCTAAGACTGGGACTAACAGAAAGAAGCGGACATGTAATGAGGGGCTTCCTTTTTATCCCGTACGCTTATCTAGTATTTGTATTTGAAATGTCTACATTACAATGGGATGCGGGACAGTCTGACATTGTGCCAGCAATGTCGGGGTACACTTAAATAAGAGACTGATAGAATTATGATTTCTTATGAAGGACTTATACTATTGTAGTAAAATGGGGAAAATCTGTCGGGGGGGTGGGAGTTTGTGGGGAATCCCAGCCTATACGAAATTGTACCACATAATTCAGAATTCAAAATAAAAAATATATTAAAAATAAATAAGAAATGTCTACATTAACCATGTATGAAGGCAGTATATTTTTTTCAGATTTTCAAATTTAAGTATCATATTACAGTAATGTGCTATGAAAACCAAAATCATTCCAAAAAATTAAAAGAGTAAATGGGAAATGTATGGAGTGTTTTTTTCTGTCCTAATTGTTCACCCAGGGTCTATCAGACTGTGGGACTCCCGATTTTCTTGCCTACCCTCACGCCTGACTGGAGTTATCAGGAGTTGCAATAACAAGTGCCTCCCTGCTTTCCAGCCCTCCCCTTTTTGGCTGCAACCCAGAGTCCATCAGTCCTCTGCAAGAGTGGATTTGACACTTTTAAAAACCCACCCATGATGTCTGCATACAAGCGACTCCCTGTTGCATTTCCAGGCCTCTCAATAAGACTACTTACACTTTGCCCAAGATACAGGACTGTTCTATAAAATAGCAAACAAAACATCTAACAGCGTAGCATCATGAGGGCCCTGGCCAGCAACCACTCACTTGCCTTGCTGCTTGAGCAGTCACATAACCTCTGATTCTTACTATCTTTTCTGGGCACCTTCCAAACTTGGTACTATTCTTAACAATATTCTGTCTTGTCCTGGAGTTGTTTATGTATTTGTCATTCTCCTTGACTAGTCCACAAGCTCCTCAGGGCTCAAGGCCTTGTTTTGTTACTGTTTATATGTGCTGAAGCACCTAAAAAGGAATTGCATAATTGAAACTGCAAGATGTAAATAAGACAGTTGTCCTCCCTTATCTGCAGAGAGCGGTAGTGGTGTTGGTTGTCATTGTTTAATATTTATTTACCTAAATGGCAGATGTGACATTATTTGAATGATAGTAAAGGAGAGACAAAAGAGTCTTGGGGTCAGCATGATGGCGGCCTGCATCCTAGATGGATGCCAGTTCGTATCCTGACTGTTCCACTTCCCTTCCAACTCCCTGCTAAGGGTCTGAGAAAGCAGTAGAGGACAGCCCAAAGTCTTGGGACCCTGTACCCGCCTGGAAAGAAACGCCAGGCTCCTGACTTCAGATCAACTCAGCTCTGACCATTGTGGCCATTTAGGAAATGAACCAGTAGACGGAAGGCACTTCTCTTGGGGTCTCTTTCTCTTCATGTAAAATCTGCCTTTCAAATAAAAATATATAAACCGGCCCGGCACGATGGCGCAGTGGTTAAGGTCCTCGCCTTGCATGCCTGGGATCCCATATGGGCGCTGGTTCTAATCCCGGCAGCCCCGCTACCCATCCAGCTCACTGGGAAAGCAGTGAGGACGGCCCAAAGCTTTGAGACCCTGCACCCGCATGGGAGACCCAGAAGAGACTCCTGGCTTCGGATTGGCTCAACTCCAGCCGTTGCGGCTGCCTGGGGAGTGAATCATCGGACGGAAGATCTTCCTCTCTGTCTCTCCTCTCTGTACATCCGCCTTTCCAATAAAAATTAACAAATAAATCTTTAAATAATATATATATATATGCCAAAAGAAAGAGAGAAAGGAAGGAAGAAGAAAGAAAAACGAGAAAGTTTTTAGTGCTTGCTCCCTCAATGCCTACAACTGCCAGGGGTAGGCCAGGCTGAAACAAGGAGCCAGGAACTGCATCCGGGTCTTTCACAGGCATGGCAGGGCAGGAGCCCAACTTGTGCTGCTTTTGCAGGCACGTTGGCAGGGAAGTGAATCCGAAATCCGAGCATCTGAACGCATATGAGATGCTAGCATCACAGACAGAGGCTTATCCTCCCACTCCACAATCCCAGTCTGGGGTTGGGGAGGGACAGACAGATCCCCTGCAGATGCCCAAACCTACAGAGAGTATACTGTTTGAATCTAGCCATACTGACCTAGGGTAAAGCCTGATTTCCAGCTAGGCATAGTAAGGATTGACTGGCCATAATTCAGAATACAACAAGTATACAATACACTATAAAAGTAGCCATGCAAGTGTTGCTGTCTCTGTCAAAACTTTATCCAACTTTCACTTTTTCACTTACAGGAAGTGCCTTACGACCTCACTTTGGCCTATCTGAATCACTTGCATCCCTATGTTTGCAGTTTGGGGTTCTTATTAAGTAAGTTACTGACCACAAGTGCAGTGCAGTAGTATTCTCACCACTAATCTGATAACAGAAGTGACTAATGGGGCAAAAAGTACGCACAGCGTGGATATGCTGGACCAGAAAGTAATTCAAGCTCCAGGCTGGACAGAGCAGGTCAGAGCCAGGCAGAATGAAACAGCACAAAATTTCATCACACTGTTTAAACTGTGCACAATTTAAAGCTTGTGCACTATTTGAATTGGTTATTTCTGGAATTTTCCATTTACTATTTTCAATTCACAGTTGACTCTAGGTGACTGAAACCACAGAAAATGAACCCTCAGGTGGGGAGGGGACTGCTACAGTATCTGTCTCAATCCCCACAGCCCCTTCCCCACTACAGTTTCCAGGGGCTTATTCATAAAGCATGTTTATAAATGCAATCTTGTCCATATTGTGAAAGAATTTGGATTTCTGTGAGGACTAAAAATAATTTTTTTTATAAAAATTAACCATAATTGTCATTGAGTCATTGGTGAGATAATAAAAATTGAAAAGGTAGAAGAGGCAGTAAATACATGAACTTGAACCCAGCATTGTGGCATTGTGAGTTAAAGCACTGTTTGCAATGTCCACCTCCCCTGTCAAGCGTGCCAGTTTGACATGCAGCTTCCTGTTAATTCGCCTGGGAGAGCCTGGGAAGATGGCTCATGGGCCTCTGCTCCCCTCCAAGTGATCAGGATGGGGTCCTTGGCTTCGGGCTTCAGCATGGCCCAGACTTGGCTATTGCAGCCTCTTGAGGAATGAACCAAAGGATAGAAGGTCTCTCTCTCTCTCTCTCTCTCTCGCCTTGCAAATAAAAACAATAGACTTAAAAATAAAGTTGACTTAATGACATAAGGGGAAAAGAAATGTTATAGGAACTGGATATAATACCAAGAAACAAAAACCCAATAAGGAAAAAAATGGTGCAAATCATAAAGAGGAAGGAAATCATTGAAATTTAGTAAAAGCAGAAACATGACAGATCATGGAAGGCTATGTCAAGAAAATAAATGAAAACAAAATGTCAGCAGATTCATAAATGCAAAATAAAGTAAGAAAGAAAATGATAAATTATTTAATAAGATACATAAGAAAAATCAGAACAGCATGAGTAGTATCAGAAACTACTTTGTATTTTTTCTGCCTTCCCTTCCACATTTGATTTTCTTTTTTTTTTTTTAAATGATTTTCTTATACACATCATACAATTAGTGTCACACTTTTAAAAATCCAGTTTAGGAATCTTCCACTTTTTTTTTTTAAAGATTTATTTTTATTATTGGAAAGGCAGATATACAGAGAGGAGAGACAGAGAGGAAGATCTTCCGTCCAATGATTCACTCCCCAAGTGAGCGCAATGGCCGATGCTATGTCGATCCGAAGCCAGGAGCCTCTTCTGGGTCTCCCACACGGGTGCAGGGTCCCAAAGCTTTGGGCTGTCCTCGACTGCTTTCCTGGGCCACAGGCAGGGAGCTGGATGGGAAGTGGGGCTGCCGGGATTAGAACCGGCGCCCATATGGGATCCCGGGGGCGTGCAAGGCAAGAATCTTAACCACTTGCGCCACCGCGCCAGGCCCCAC